AACTAGTAAAGTAAATATACTTTCACAAGGGAAGGTTCAAAGGGTAATACCTACCTATCCTATGCAGGTTTCAATTGTTGAACACTATCACAGAGTCAAAACTAAAACAATTTTCATTCATGTGGGGGATTGTTGGAAATATGGGATAAATTGATGGGTGAATGAATGAGAAATTGATGCTCAAAGAACACCCTTGAGTTGGAAGTGGGAAGTGGAAAAACACTATTCCCACATCGGAAAAGAAAGAAGGCTATGGAGTGCTTTATATACAGTTACACTTATTTGAAGTGGTAATTATCATAGTACAAACTCTCTGCCTCGCGCGCAGGCGCAGGGGGGGTGCAAATCCGACGCCCGACAAGTTGAAACTTGGGCGCGAGCGCACATCCCGCGTACACGATTGCAGGACCGAAAAGTGGGCCTCGCGACGAGCCCAATTTTGCCTTCTGATTTATTTTTTTCAACTCAAACTGTTACGAATTTCGTAACGTGCGGCAGATTTAATCAACCGTTATTCCCATGCGTATTGATTTTATAACGGCAGATTTAATCGTCCGTTATTCGTATTGATTTTATAACGGCAGATTTAATCGTCCGTATTGATTTTATAACGGCAGAATTAATCGTCCGTTATTCGTATTGATTTTGTAACGACAGATTTAATCGGCCGTTATTATTCCCGAATTGCTCTCCCCTTTGTTCCTTTTTATCGAAATCATTCTTCCTCTAGTTTTACGCTCTCTCTGCATTTGCACTGTTTTACGGTAGTGTTCATTTCGAGTTTGTTCAAGTTCGCCGGAAGCTTGAAAGTGCCGTGCTCTCTTCTTCGCTGTCAACCGTTGTATCCTGGGAGACAGACGTTCACGAAACCTCGGTCGCGTACTGGAGGGAATGAATCTGTTTTAAGGAAACTGTGTCAAACACGGGCCTCGGTATTCATTTGTATCGATTCCAACTTTGTTATTGCAATTTCGTTTCTTTACAATTCTGTATTGTTTGTAATATTTATGCTAATGCCGATTTGAATTTTCGTAACATCAACATCACTACGTTGTTCTTCTGTTTTCTTTAGTTAGTGTTGTTTCCTGGAATGTGCTTTGATATGCTTGTTTGAGTGCCGTTTTCATGATGAGATATGCTTTTTCCTGGAAAATTGTCCAAAAAGTCCAAAACCTATTGTACTTTTGTCAATTAAATCTTAAATCTTTTAATTTTGCAATTGAGTTCTAAACTTTTTAATGTTTTGCCAATTGAATCAATCTGACGTGGATGCCGGCCGGCCGTCCTACGTGGCACGACAAGTGATGACGAGGACAATTTTAAACGATTTTTTTTTAAAATTTTTCATTGGCTTGGGCAAGGGATGCCTGGGCTTGGGCTGGACTGCCGTGCCATGTAGGAGGCCCGGTGTCCACATTAACGATTTTCGGCCAAAATTAGCTGATTGAATCGATTGGCAAAACGTGAAAAGATTTAAAACTCAATTGGTAAAATTGAAAAGTTTGAGCTTGCATTGATGAGCGTGCAATAAATTTATGACTTTTTAAGATAATTTTCCCTGCTTTTTCGTATGCTTTCGGAATCCCTTTTTAATATTATTAATGTTGTTGTACGCTAGTGGTACTTTAGATATCTTTGTTAGTGAAAAAAGACAAACAATCAGTTGAAAGTTTTGCCATTAAAGTTTTTCTCCTTTAGCAAATTGAAAGAAATGGGAAAGAAGTAACTTGGAAACTTCACGATGACTGACTCGAAGAAGAATGATTTTGACTTTGCCTCATTTAACTCTCTAGATTTCATGAGAAATGGGGATGACCGGATGGGCAATCTCTAAATATGTGTCCGATTTTTTTAATGCAATTCACGAAACTTTTCTTGTTTAATTTAGTCTCCGAACTTTTAGAATTACACTAAATAGGATTCTTTCGTAAAGTTTTGCCAATTTAGATCGCCGAGTCAGCAATGTGGGTCCTAGTCAGCTCAATTAAAATGACTTTCTTTTTCACAAGAAGACCTTCTTCCCTCAATTAATAAAAAGCGAAGAGGCAAATTGGAAATAACACGCACACGGTAATGACTAGAAGAAGAATGATTTTGACTTTGCCTCCTTTTACTCCCTATATATTTCATATAAAAAAAAAGGGATAGTATGCATAATCTCTGGATTTTGGTTCGACTTTTGGTGTAACCCATGATTTTTTTTTTTGGGTTCAATTTAGTTCTCGAACTTTTAGGACCGCACTCAATATAAGCCTTCCGTAAAGTGCAATGCCATGCGATGTGTATTTTGCCGAAGTGGATCGCCAAGTTAGCAGTGTGGGTCCAGAGAGATGATGTGTAAAGCCAGCTCAACTAAAATGATTTTTTTTCCCATAAAATTACTTATTTTCCCCATCTTTTATTTTTCTTCTTCTTCTTCCTCCTTCCTCTCAACCAACATTACCGGCCATCCCACCACCATCGTCACCGACGTAGTTCCGTTGTCATTACTTGCCATCACAAGCCTCATCGCTCAACCTTAGATTTGATTCACACTTAAGTCATGTGTTTATGTATGGGAAAAGTATCAAAAAGTGCCAAACCCATTATATTTATACCAATTTAGTCATAAACCTTTGAATTGAACAAATTTAGTCATAAATCTTTTTATATTGGTACCAATTTAGTTCATCCGACTAATTTAAGCCGGAAAGCGCTGATGTGGACGTTGGCCGTCCTACGTGGCATAGCTGGCAGATGGCCGGCGCTAACGTATTTTAAATAATATTTTAATAATTTTTTGAATTTTTGAATTTTTTTCCTTTTTTCCCTTTCTGTTTTTTTCCCTTCTTTTTCCATTGTCCTGTAGCCAGTCACCGGCCATGGCCAAGTACTAGCCACAGGCGAGGGTCACCCTTGCCATAGTCGGCGAGGGTGGCCCTCACCCAGGCTGGAGGGTCTAGCCCTCGCTAGAGCCAGTGTAGGCAACCCTCGTCAAAGGCTGTGAGGGTGACCTTGGCTCAGGTTGCGAGGGTGAGCCTTCTCTAGATCTGGGGAGGGCTGCGACGCCCTTGCCTGTGGCCTGTTGCCTGTTGCCGGCCATGGTCGAGTATCGGCCATAGGCAAAAGGAAAGAGAAGGAAAAAAAATAAAGGAAAAAGAAAAAAGAAAAAAAGGAAAAAATTTAAAATATTAATAAAAATTCAAAAAATTATTAAAATATTGTTAAAAATGTCCACGTTAGTATTGGTCGTCTGCCAACTAGGCCATATAGGATGCCCGGCGTCCACGTTAGTAATTTCCGGCTTAAATTGTCCGGATGGACTGAATTGGTATCAATGAGAAAATGGTTATGACTAAATTGATTCAATTAAAAGGTTTATGACTGAATTGGTACCGAATCAATGAGTTTAGGGCTTTTATGCTACTTTTCCCGTCCGTGCATTTATCCCATAACAAAACATACTACTAACATTTCCTATATTAACGCAACGAGGTTGAGTTGAGGAATCAAGCTGCTTTATAGCAAAAACCATCAAAATCTCCGTTAATAAGGAAGGGAAAGAGCCGATAACAAAAAAATCAGGTACACCCCTGCGACAATTCAAGGCCATTATGGCTGCATTATGCTAATATTGTGAGCCGGATGATGACACTTTTGACTATGTCTGTCATTTCTCCTCCTATCCACTCTCTCGGTTGACGCACCTTACTATCATTTTCTCATGCAAGTCATGCAGAAACATCTTCGCAACCATGCAATAAGACAAATTGAGCGCGATGGTAATGATGCCTATTCCATCCAGAACGTAAATCTAGCGATTTGGGCTGAATCCGAGACGAAAACGTACAGCAACGCGGTTTGGGAGAGGGAGAAAATGAGGATGGGACTTGTCACACGTGGTGGCGCACTACTAACCCACCACTACCTCCAATTTCCCGACTTTTCTCGGTTTCGCACGACTTGTGTTTGACTTATGACGTCGATGCAGGCAAAGTGTCCTATTAGTGGCACGGTTCCAAGTCCTATCATATGTATGGTAAGATTCAGATTCTAAAAATTGAGAAATCAATTATGACAAAAAGGTTCTATTAAGAATACAGATGGAACTTAAATAAACTATGAAACCGACCCTGAAACATGTGATATGATAGATTTTAGGTTTCAAAAAATATAGGGTAGGTTTTATGATTCAAAATTTTGGGAATCAATTCCGACGGGTAGATTATAGGTGGAACCAAGATTGGCCCTCGGACCGCTTACCCTTAGCATGCACCGAGTCAGCCTCCACTGCAGCAAAAGCAAAAAGCTTGTCGTTCTGTGAAGAAAGGTCAAGATGGTTTTGTGTTAACCTGGTTCTCTTTGAGGATGGCTCATGTGGGAGTGAATGTTTCTTTAGTTTTTGGCCGTCGACCATGGGGTCAATGGCACGTAGTTGCTTGGAAAAATCACTGAGACACTCCGCAAAACGCGTATACTGAGATTTGCAAATGTGTACTCGTTACGGAATCCCCACTTCAACTTTTACGTAATCCGAAACATTGAAAATTCTCGAATCATCTTTACCTTGACGTTTTGCCTCTTTCTTAATCAATGAAAACCCCAAATAGTATCCCTTACTTTTAAATTTTGGACGGTATTGTAAGTTTATATTAAGAGGTATCCCTTAGCCAAGGGTACTCCGTGGATCATTGATTGGTTAAGAGGTATCTCATCACATAGTAAGAGCCGAAACTCCGACCGGGGCTACCTTGCCTGTCCAGGTATATATAACTGGTGGGCTGACACGTCTGCGTTTCTTAATTTCACGTGTCGGTGCTTGCACGCTTATCTCCCCTATTTTCCCCCTTTATGTTTTTCTTCCCTTTTGATATTTTACGTTCGAGGGATGCCGAGATTCGCATGGGACCTTAGACGAAGCAATATAAGGACTTGGTCAGGTCCTATATTATAAATGCAAGAAAGAATAAAAAGACATTCACACTTCATTCAGAAATCCATAAATTTGATATGAGAATTCCGATGGGAAAGTAAGCAGATGGTTGAAAAGACATGCAAAATTGGACCGAGGATGAAGCGGTTCGGTTTTAGTGAACCGAGCGATGCCGTGTTAGTAAGAACATTCCGAGAAAAGTTACAAGCGTTTCCCCTCAACTTAAACGCGCTTCCCAGTCTGCAACCCTCATTCATCTCTCTATAAGAAGGGGCGCACGGTGAGCTCCATTGCTGCATTACGAGTTCTTTGCTCATATTCTCATCTGCTACTTCCCACCGTTTCTTCTTTTGCTAGTGTTGTTCATACACATTTACTTCTTTTGCATTCATCAAGCAGGTAAAGTTTTCTTCCCTATCATTGCTCAAAAGTTCGATAGAGAGAAACTATGTGCTATAGTTCTGCAGTCACGATTCTCTACTAATTACCTAGAAGCGTGACTAGTTTTCTTTTTGCCAGTAGAGTAACGTGAAACTCCGTTCAGAGATGTCACAGAAGAGCTTTGCCGACGACCCGTGATCCATCATCTTTATAAGAAGGGGCGCACAGCGAGCTCCATTGCTGTATAACTAGTCTCATATTCTCATCTGCTACTTCCCACCGTTTCTTCTTTTGCTAGTGTTGTTCATGCGCATCTACTTCTTTTCGATTCATAAAACAGGTAAAGTTTTACCCCTATCATTGCTCAACGTTCAGTGTGTGCGTGTTGGGAGGGGGTAGAGATTACCTGGAAGTGACTAGGTTTCTTTTTGCCAGTGGATCAACGTGAAACGCCATCCAGAGATGTCACAGAAGAGCTTTGCAGATGAGCCGGATATCGAGTCTCAGCAAGAGAACCTCCTCGTCAATACTGGTGGAGCCCCGAGGAGACGGTGGCAACGGGTCTTCTTGGTCCTGAAGACAAGTTCAATTCTCATTTCGACAACAAAAAACACTGCGATTAAGGCATGTGCGGTTAACGATCAAGATGTCGAGTCGCAGCAACCGACTCTCCTCAATACTGGCAAAACCCTGAGGAGACGGTGGCATTTGGTCTACTTGGTTGTCAAGACTCTCCGGGTCATCGTTTCGACAGCAAATAATGCTGTGGCGGAGACACAACTTGAAGTGAGTAGTCTCAAATCATTGCTTTTCCATCACAAGACCACAAAACACTTTCATAACAACTCCCCCCCAAAACATTCAATAAGTGATCTTTTCATTTATTTGTCTTGCTTAGAAGTTTGCCAATCTCCGAACGATCTTTCATGTGACGGCGGCATTACCATTTCAAACCCAGACTGGTTCTTCCTCCACGTCCTATTGAGTCATAAAAGTTCCAGCGTAAATAATCCATATTCGTTCACATGAATACCATCTTCTCCATTTACAGCAATTGTGTGCTAATGAACATGATGCATTGATGGGTAAGTAACTAAATGAAATTGGTAGAACTGTCCCTTAGGCTTCTCAGCGGCAACATGGTGGAAGCACTTTCTATTTGGAAGAAGAGCTGGTCTTGGTTGCATTCCATGGCTACTCAGTTAAAAAAATAGCACTAAAAGATAAGTCTCTCAGTTAATGAATGAATCAGTTAGTCGAGAACTTGAAAGCTACTTTTGTGCTCTTACTCATTAGTACCAAAAATAGAATCTCAAGGTCTGCTGCAACTGATTTCCATGAAGTGTTTTGAAGCCACATATTAAGTTTCCACCATCGAATCTACACTTCCTGGAGCGTGCTGCTCTTAAAAGCAAGCATACTGGAAGCACTTTAGAATTGCTGCTTCAATTTACAATGACAAGGTTTGCCAAAGTCTGATAATGACTTTTAATACACCTTAAATAAATCTCTCTCTCTCTCTCTCTCTCTCTCTCTCTCTCTCTCTCTCTCTCTATATATATATATATATATATATATATATATATATATATATCTATCTATCTATCTATCTATCTATCTATCTATTTACGACGATCGAACATCTTCTCTTTTTCTTATTATGCTACTCTAGATCTAAGGCTTGCCATATGCATTATTTAGTCCATATATATGTATCTGTTGCTGATAGAACTTGTCTACTTCGTGCATTGATGGGCTTCACACATAACCTATCACTCTTTGCACTTATCAGATGAGCACATATAATTTTGAGCGTTAGAAGTATAACTTGAAATGTGCTGAAATGATTTCAGATAAAAAATTAGAATTTCTATGTTTGTGATACTTTTTAAGCTGTGAAATAACATAGCTTTCAGGATAACATTGGGAAGAAATTTCTAAACCTGAAGTAACTTATTCTTTTATTACAGAGCACAGAATTACCGAATACTGGGGAACCAGAGCCAACACATGAATTGTTCATCAATTCTGGGCACAACAATCATGAAAATATTGCTAGGATGATAATGGAAAAGGATTTGACTAGCTTACAAGAATTTGGAGGTGTCCAAGGGGTAGCAGGGGCTCTCAACAGTGATATGGTCAATGGAATTCCAGGTCATGAGGAGGACCTCCATCACCGACGCACCGCAATCCTTAAACCCAAATCGGAGGCTCATAACAGAAACTTCATCCACTTCCTCAGGAAATCTTGCAATAGCAGCACCATTTTCCTCCTCCTGATTTTGGCCATTCTGTCATTTGCCTTTGGGATCAAGGAGAAAGGGCTGAGAACAGGCTGGTATGAAGGGGCTCTTACACTAGGTGCTGTGATTCTGATCGTGATAGTCTATTCAATTTGTGAATTTCGGAATGAAAGTTCACGTCAGCTGTCAAGAAACCAGCTTTGGCAAAATGGGGAACTGAAAGTTCATGTTTTAAGAGGGGGATGCCGTCAAACCATTTGCATCTCCGATGTCCTCTTGGGAGACATTGTGCTATTAGAGAAGGGAGACCAAGTTCCTGCCGATGGTTTGCTCATACACACTGTATCCTTGGAAGTGAATGACAAAGCTGATCCCATCATCAATGATCAGAATCCATTCTTGTTTTATGGTTCCAAAGTAACTGATGGTACTGGAAAAATGCTGGTGACCTCAGTTGGTGCCGAGACAAAGTTGGTCAATATGTTGAGCAAAGCTCCACCATCAAAAAAGACAACAGTAGAGGAGCAACTCAACAAGCTCAGCACTTCGATACAAATAATCAGTATTGTCATCTCAATAATCATCATTGCGGTGTTGTTTTTGCGGTTCAAGCTCAAGAAGAAGTATGATAACTCGGGGCCGCCAGATTTCCCAGGGAAGTCACATCCTCTGAAGGGATTAAATGAAGCTATAAAGAGAATTTTCCTGAGACCACGAGGGATGTTAAATACGTTGACCTCTTCATTTACTTTGCTACTAGTTGGAATAGCCGAAGGACTACCATTAGCAATCACTATTGCCATCACTTGCTGGAACAAGAGGATGCTGGGTGACAAGACCTTTGCTCAAGAACCATCGATTGCTGTCACCATGGCATCAGTCACCATTATTTGCACCGACAAACTGGGGGGACTAACATTGACCCCACAAGAAGTTGAAAGGTGCTGGATCGGTGAAGAATTTATCAGTGAAGATTCCAAAATATCCATTCATGTTCTGAAAGCATTTTGCGATGGGATTGGCATATCATCTTTGTTACCAGAGAACAGTCGAACCCCAGTGGATGACTCAATCCTTTCTTGGGCTGCAGAGAACTGGGGATTGAAAACGGAAGTCTGGAAGCAATGCCACAGGGACGTTAAGTTCATACAGCCAACCGAAAACGAGAACATAGTTGCAGCATTGATCGGAAAGGATGGAGGTAACGGGCCTTGGTTCTTGCACTGCAAGGGACCTGCAACAACAATATTAGACAGGTGTTCACAATTTTATGACATTGAAGGGAAAACAAGGCCGTTGGATATAAGTGAAAAGATGGATTTTGAAGGCATTATTGAGCAAATGAGGTCAAAAGGTTTTGACTCCATCGCATTTGCTTGTCAGCAAGTCGATGACTCTAGGCTTGATGAAGGCAATCTAACAATGCTGGGACTGTTGGGGCTGAAGAAGACTAGCAGGGACGATACAAGAGAGGTGATAGAAGAATGCAGAGAAGCCGGAATTAAAGTTTTATTGGTATCGAGTGAGGAGGTTTCGATGCTCCAGAACATTGCTACAGAGTTTGGAGTGATACGGCCTGATTCAGATGCACTGGTCATAACAGGCGAAGGATTTCGGACTAGCTCTGATGAAGAGAGGATGGATATGGCAACTAGAATTTCTGTGATGGGGAACTCCCTCCCATCCGATCGGCTCCTTCTGCTCAGTTGCTTGAAAGATCTAGGACACACAGTTGCAGTGGTCGGAAACAGAACAAATGACATTCCCACGCTAAAAGCTGCTGATGTGGGACTCACATTTGCTACTTGGAGCACTGACATTGCGAGAAAGAGTACTGACATTGTCATTACAGAAGGGAATTTCACATCCATCTTAGCCATAATTAAGTGTGGAAGATGCATATACAGTAACATGCGAAAGTACATTCAGTTTCAGCTAACTATGACCTTAGCCGGGTCTTTGATACCCTTAATCACAAATGCTTCTCACGGAAATTCACCTATAACGACGATTCAGTTCCACTGGGCAATCTCAGTTTTGACGACTCTAGGTGGTTTGGCTCTCTTGATGGAGCCGCCGGGTGAGATGCTCATGAAGAAATGCACACCAGGACGAGATGGACAACTCATTACCAAGGCCATGTGGGTGAATATTTTCATACAAACAGCTTACCAGGCATCTCTTTTGGCAGCCATACAGTCTAAAGGGCCCCCAATGCTCAGGCTAAATGAGAAGTCAATTGAGACTGTGATATTCAACAGCTTTTTTCTATGTCAGGTATTCAACAAGTTCAATGCACGAGAGCCTGAAAAGAACAACATCTTCAGAGGGGTCCATCGCAGTAAATGGTTTTGGGTGGGTATGGTTGCAGCTTTGTTGTTACAGGTTGCATTTCTTGAGATAGCACACATCGTTGCAGGTGATTCAAGATTGACATACGCAGAATGGGGAATGTGTCTGCTTCTTGGGATAACCTCATGGTGCATCGACTTAGCTGGAAAGTGCACACTCCTGATGGTAAAAAAGTGGGTGACAAAGCCACCAGGTTCAGTTGTCAGAGATAACAGAAACCTAACCTCAGCTGTCCCAGAACCTGCTGGCAATCTCGAGCTTCCACTCATGCAGCAAGTTGAAGGCCCAACATACCAGAGTTAATATTTTGTCTGCAAGAGATGGAGGAACTGAAAAAGGGTACATGACAGTGTAAATAAGGTGGATTAGGAGGATGCACGATAGAAGTGAGTCAGACGGAATGATTCAGTTCATTGACATGGTTTAGCAGCTGTACTGATTAGTTGTCTAGAATTGCTCATTCACATGGCAATGTAAAATATTTAAAGAACCATAATGATAGCCATCTATATCTCCCAATCAATCCTTTTTTCTTCCAATTTTTCTCTTTGCTTCATTTTTTCTTACATTAAACTATGAAATCGCCCCTCTTTCATTTTGACAGCATATATATTTTCTGCAAATTGCCTCTTATTAGCACTTCTTTCAGTGTGGTGACAGTTAATTTCTGGAAAAGTCTTACAAAGTAGCTGAAAACCTACGTAAGAGATCTTCAGAATGTACAGTTTCATACGCATGTGAGCAAGTAAAATAGCTGCAATTGTAAGAATCAGAGATTATTCAATATATAGAGAGGAAGCAAATAGTAACAAAAGACGATCATAAGTTTTTATACAGGAATCTTCCATCACAAATGAAACATGAGTTCGGACTGTGAATAGATGCTTACAAGTAGGTGAAGTCATTACGATAAGAGGAGCATCTGCAACTGAGCTTAGCCGAGAGGGAGACAGAAACTGGTTTGAAACTCCATCGCTATTCGATTCTCTGTCCTGTGAGCAGTTGACGGCTCCTTAACGCCCATGTTTGGTGTCAATGGCTCAACACATTTTCCATTGGCAACCTTCATTAAGGAATGCTGTTTTGTACAAGACTTAAGCAAATTCACAGCTTGCCTCGTCACCTAATCACCAACAACAGCATCGAGGAAACTAGCGAATTAACCCCCAAAAAAGTATCTGCTATCATTCAGTATATGATGCTCGACAAGGACCCTTGAAACTTTTAGTTAATGAACATCACTAATTCATCTATTCAACAGTTATGAATAACGGTGTGGACAAAATAAGACGATTAACCATTGACAGTTCTATACTCACATTCTCCTTCCTTCTCCTTCTTCTTCCTATCTTTGATTCACGCAATCATTCTTCTTCATTTCAAAGAAGCATTAACTCTCAACGCGTGCAATATCAGATAACAGATCTTGAACAAAACCCAGTAGAAGGAACGGTTTGGCAAACCAGCAGCAAAAGAACTTCAATGGAAGGCGACCAACGTCCTCGTTTCGAGCTTAGCTTCGATTGAACTCAATCACTAACTGAGCTTATCATTATACAGCCGAAATCTCGAGAAAACAAAATTGCAGACATGAATTTGAAACTACCACCTGCAAGCGAGCGCAGTTGACGCACCAGTCGGTCCACGAAGCTGGTCAAAGTCAACGGCCTCTCCATTTCTGGTGAGTTTGACCATTATCGGACACACGTTTGTCGTTTCAGTGATGGAAAGATGAGTGTCTTGCTTTGTAGAAACGAAAAACAAAACTCTATTCCATTTATTAGTTTAATAATGCAAAGTTGTGCTTTGAAGTGGCAATCATGTTAACAGTTGTTGTCCACTGTAATGGCCATGCAAAATCTTAAACAACGAATTCAAATGTAGCTTTCATTTCATGAGGAAAAAGTCACAAAAAATCTCAAACTATATTTACTGTGACACATTTATCCCAAACTTTTTCTTGTGACATAAAAAACCCCAAATTTGTACCTATGTGACACATTGATCCTCCGTCAATGTTCCGTTAGATGATTTTTCAACAAAAATAACCTCATTTTTATTTCACTTAAGCCACATGGCGCACCATGTCAACATTATTTGTTTTTTGGCTTCCATGTAGATAAATTTTTAACAATTCTCATTAACAGAACTTTGATAGAGGATAAATGTGTCACACAGGTACAAATTTTTAGTTTAGGATAAATGTGTCATGGTGGGCATAGTTTAGAGTTTTTGTTGCCTTTTACCCTTTCATGGGCCGGAGGTAAAAGTTCAAACATTTTCTTGGATTGAGTAAAAAATTATCCACATGCAACAATTCGCAATTAAGCCTAATTCCCTCAAAAAACCCGAAATTTTATGTTTAATCCTAATTCTGCTCCGAACTTTTTTTTGTATAAAAATAAACCTCAAACTTTAGGTTCAATCCAAATCTGCCCCGAACTATTCTTTATCTAAAAAAAAAAAAAACCCCAACTTTAGGTCCAGCCCCAAATTTACCTAAACTTTCTTTTGTTTAAGAGAAAATCCATCAATTTTTACTCTAATCCCAAATCTGCCCAATTAGCCCTCTTTCCAAAAATCGCCATTAGTCGTCCATAATTTTCATATCGTAGAACGGTTACATTTTGGAGATAATTTTCCTTGTCACTTTGCTGATGTGCATTTGTTTTCGACGTGGAAACGTCATGTCAAGTTGGGACTGGATCATATTTGAGAAGGAATTGAAAGTTGATGATTTTTTTTTAGACAAAACGAAATTTAAGGCAGATTTGGGACAAAACTTAATGTGTAGCATTTTTTTTAGACAAAAAAAGTTCGGTGCATATTTGGGATTAGATCTAAAGCTTGAGGTTTAGTCTTAGACAAAAAAAGTTTGTGGCATGATTTGGAATGTTGGAGGGTTTTTTTAAAGGGAAACAGGCCTTTGTGAGATCTTTGGACAAGTGGCTTAATTTCTTTTTGTTTGCATAATTGGTTTGTCTAGCTTACCACTAATCCCGTCAAATGGGCAGGTTGAGTAAAAAACCGTCCAACCCAAATTGACCATTTAATTCATCTTGGCCTATTTTAATGCAATATAAAATTAACAACCCATACTCAACCAGACATGGATCCAACCAATACTCGAGTCAATTCGTATTATTAAAATACATTCATATTATACCCAACCTATGAAAATTTGTACATACCCATTTAACTCACTTTAAGCTCTTTACATTAATTTGTTACTTGAATAGAATATAATATCAAATTTTAAAAAAGTAAATTAACGAAATAAAAAGTTGTTACTTGCTCTCATTTGCCCCGGCCAACTCACCTAACCCAGTCTCGCTTCCGTCTAAGCCTCCCGCGATTCCGCCATTGAGCCCCCAAACTGCTTTTGCTCTCTCTCTCTGTCTGCTGTATCTGAGGTCATGAGCCTAGATCTGACTTGTAATTGTGTGAAAACACTTATGAGATTGCTTGGTTCGACGGCTGGGAAACACTTGAGATCTTGTGCAATCGTACTTGTAATTCTCTGGATTTACCGTGAAACTTTTGTGGCTGCTCTTCCCGTAAATATAAGTACTGATTCGAAAAACACTATGTAAATCTTGGTATGTCCTCTCTATTTTCTTTCTACTTTTCTATAAATGGTCTTAGACGGGCATTCATTGGTCTATCGCATGATCCGCTGAAATGCGTGAATTTCTGTAACATACTCAAAAAGATA